GCTTGACGAAGATTAGCCCCCAGCTAACATCTGTGCCAGTCCTCCTCTATTTTTTGTATGTGGGTCACCACCATAGCCTGGCTGAGTGGTACAGGTCTGCACCTGGGATCCAGGCCGCCGAAGCAGAGTGCACGAACCTAACCAGTAGGCCACAGGGCCAGCCCAGATTTTTTTAAAATATAATAAACACAGAGGCCTTCTTGTCCACTCAGCATCCACAATATGAACCCTATGTCACAGCAGCCCCAACCGGCAACCTGCCTACCACGGAGCTGCTTCCAAAGGCGGCAGGGGCCCGGGCCGAAGGCTTCAGCTGTCAGGTAGGGCCTTCCTTAAAGCCAACCTGAACGATCTCCCTGGGCCACAGGGGTCTTGCTCTAGTCCTGCGACCCGGTGTCCTCCAGGTGGGGCGGGTGGGCCGGCTCTGAGAGCTGTAGTGAGGATTTCTCAGAAGTGTGGCTCTGGTTCCGCCCCGGCAGCTGCATACCTGTGAGTTAGTGCAGGTCACTTAAGCCCTCCGTATCTCAGTTTTCTTGATTTTAAAATCAGGCCGCTGGACTAGACAACCGCCAAGGGCCCACTCAGCTCTAACACGTTTACTGTCGCTGCGAGGGAGGCAGCCACGCCCCTCCCTCGCTCCTGAGCCCCTCTCTCTCACCAGCTCCCTGACTCTCCCTACTCCTCCTCCGGATTGGCTTTCACATTAGCTCAGAATTGTCAGCATCCATGTCTCTCTAATAACCTTTAAACTGTTTGCTTATTTGTTTGTAAATAACAATCTTTTAAAAAGTCAACATATTCTTCATCGCCTGGAAGAGCACCCTTTATCTAACCACTGCCACCCAATTCCCAGACCTGTGACTACACTGAGCTCACGTCCAAGGTCAAATCAACACCGAGTGTCCCCAGTAAGAACTTCCAGGAGAGACTGGGAGCCTCAGGGCTCACTCCAGAGAAACTGCAAGATTTCACATTTGCAAAACAATGTTCTGGCTAAAACCTGGTGCAAAACCAAGTGCCCAGTGAGGATTTGCCAGCCAGTATTGAGGGGGACCATTGACTCTGACGGGGACACTTCACCTCCACCAGGTGAGACTGAGGGACCAGGACGCAGCCAGACTCCACGGTAATTGTGAAGATCCAAGCGGCTAGAAATCTGGCCATTCTCTCACTCCGCACACATCTCCCCAAATTGATGTCTGAATAGCTGATGCTTTTAAGTCTGGGTTCCAGATGGCCAGTCACCCCTGCTGCATTCCATCTGAGGGCTTCAGCCTACTGTCCCAACTAATCTAGATGTGATACCTTTCTTTTCGCTGATTCTCCCAGTCTGCTCCAATGCAAAGGTGATGGGGGGGGAAGCCCTCGATTTCCTTATCTCCCACTCTAACCAGCACACAGGGACCTGCCTTCCTCTCACTCTGCAGTTTTTCACACCCGCGCTCCCCACACCACACAAGGTCCCCCTCTGCTTGAGCATAAAGCATGTTACTTGGGAATTTTGAAAGCCGCCATCTCCCAAGAAAAGTGAGAGAAAGGCCTTGCTCTCCCCTCCTCTACCAGGAACATCCAGGGGAAAAACCTTTCTGGGCCTCATCACCTTGGGCAGGACTGGGGACCTGGTGGCCTCAGCAGCTGGGCACTTCCTGCAAAGTTCTACCCAAAGCTGAAACCAAACACTGGAAAGCAGAGGGCGTGGGCCTGGGATCCCACGGCTAAAGGAGGCTCAAGGAGGTGAGGGCAGATCAAGTGACCAGTTAACCATGGGGAAGAGGGGAGGGAGGTCCCTTCAGAGCTTGGGGATTCAGAGCTGGGCAGTCAGTGACTGGCTTAATGTGGAAAAGGGATGTGCACAGTGAAATTTGAAACCTCCTCCACTCCAGGCAAGTTGGTTTAGCTGCCCCAATCCCGGCACTCCGCAAATCCAAAATATGCTCCTTGATGCAAGAAAAAAAGGCAGCTGGAAAGAAAAGAAAAAGCAGGAGGAATAAGTCCCAGGAGGCAGTCCCAGTCAGTGTCCAGATCATGTCCCTTTCTTACACCTCAAGGACAACACTGGTTTAAAAAAACTCCTTAAAAAAATCAAACATAGAATTACTATATGATCCAGCAAGTTCACTTCTAGGTATGTACTCAAAAGAATTGAAAGCAGGGACTTGAACAGATATTTGCACACCCATTTTCACAGCAGCATTATTCACCATAGCCAAAACGTGGAACCAACCCAAGTGTCCATCAACAGATGAATGGATAAACAAAATGCGGTAGAGACACACAATGGAATATTATTCAGCCTTAAAAAGGAAAGAAATTCTGACATGTGCTACAACGTGGATGAAACTTGAGGACACTATGCTAAGGGATATATGCCAGTCACAAAAAGACAAATTTACTGTATGAGTCCACTTCTAAGAAGTCCCTAGAGTCATCAGATTCATAGAGACAAGACAATAGAATGGTGGGTACTAGAGGCTGGGGGGAGGGAAAGGGAGTTATTGTTTAATGGGGACAGATTTTCAGTTTGGGAAGACGAAAAGTTCTGAAGATGGGTGGTGGTGATGGTTGCACAATAATGTGAATGTACTTACCACTGAACTGTACACTTAAAAATGATTAAAATGGTCCATTTTACGTTATGTGTACTTAACCACACACACGCACACACACAAATTCCTAAGGTCCCTCCCAACCAGTAGCAATACTGGGGTGGCTGTGCTGGGGGAGGGCATGAGGGGGGCTTCCCTTAATCACCAGCAGCCCCCTGCAACCACATCGGAAATAAACATGAAATAAGCATAGAATTGAAAATCGCAAGTGGTGTGTTCC